CTTAGAGTTAGCCATTACTAACTTTTCCTTTCTGGAAACTGCCTGAACCTATGTAAGCAGAGTGAATGTATGCTTTCATTTGCATGCTTACCTCTTCTAAAAACATTGTACATACCTGGGACTCTACTGTAAGAACATCCTTTGTCAAGCCAGTTTTGGGGTTCTCCTTGGCTATCATTGCACCCGCAAAGCTTGTCTATAAATTTAGGATGATACTACTCGAGAAAAGAGTTCACTGCTCTGAACTCAAAAGGGGCTGAGAGTGTTTTGTTCTTTTCACATCTGTTGACATTAGATGTTCTTCCTATAGATGTCTCAACTAAATTTGTTTTACTCACAATGATATTCTATGGTTTACATGGAATGTAATATATGTGTGTGTTTACATTTATGGTATATGTATGCATGTGTATATATTATAAAGTCATATGTATGTATGTATGCATGCATGTGTATGTATGTATTTCTGCCCATTCTCTTGAATCAGTTTCTTATTCTTTTGAAGACTTTTCTGTAAGTTAAAAAATAGACAACCACAAGACCTTTGTCTTTCCATCTTCCTCTTGACTTGTGTATGGTCTTACTTTCTGACACAGAGAAATTGCAAATGTATGTAATTATGCGATATTTCTGCCATTGATTTGACTTCTAGATTGTGTGTTTAGAGGCTTTCCTGTTCTGTGACTTTTGCCTTCTTACTAAACCCTACTGGCCAGAAGCAGCATTGTTGAGAATAAAGCTAGTACATCTGTTTCTCCTGCAGTGGTTCACGCTGTTACTCAGAAGGGTTGACAATGCTTGGGATAGCACCTCTCAATAGTCCTGACTATCCCTTAATCACAAGGAAAAAATAGAAAACTGGGCAAGGACAATCAGTCTGCTGCCAAGGGAACTGTCCTCTCTCTGTAAAGTAGACTTACTTTTCTTCATTCTGGAAAAGGAATCTGATGGCTGTCACCAACCCCAGCATTAATTTTGTAACTCAAAAGCTTATGTAGTTAGAAAATTTAAGCAAGGCATGAGTCTTGGAATAAAACGGTCCTTTTTTTGGCACAGGTCGCAGCTAGACACCACATTTGGAAATATCACAGTTTTCTGTTGTCGCGGGCAAGGGGATAAGTGAATAGAGATAATGGACTTCAGTGATTTGGGTGTGAAGGGGCATTTTGAGTTAGAAAAGGTGCTTTTGAACTTGGTCTTTCTCATTAGCGAGTCTAGTTCTTTATCAGAGGGACAGCCAGTGACCAGTGAGTCCAGCCCTGTATCAGAGGGGCAGCTGGTGACTACTGTGACTGTCTCTGGCATCCCTCTGTGACCCAGGCCCTTCTCATTGTCATGGAAATCTGCTAACCCTCTTCTCCCAGCACCACAGCTTATTTGCTCTTTGAGTTGAATCAAAACAGACTGCGGGGAGGTCCATGTTTCTATGCTTCTGTTAGCATTGTTCTTCATGGGTGAGAGAATACTATCTCTTTCTTGGAACCTCAGCTGCCCACCAGTTATTGTCCATTTGTACAGTAAGTTAAGGTCAGGCCATGCTGCCAATCACTTTGAACTGGTTACTCAGCATCAAAAGCCTTTCCCTCCTCCCTTGTAAAAATGACCCAACTTAATTGATTATTTTGACTGTGCGGTGTGTCTCCTGGACACTATGTCAATCTACTTGTTCTTGTGATATAGCAGAGGTTCACTTTTCATGATTCTGGATAATAGGATATCCAAGATCAATCAAGGTCTCAAAAGTCTGTGTATGTAGCGGAGACTCATTTCTTACTTCAAAGATGGTACTCTCTGTGTGTCCTCATGTAGTGCAGAGACAAGAATTTCTCTGGAAATGTTTACACTGATATGAATGCTGCCCGTGAGGGATCTGCTTTTCCATAGACATGTTTCTGTTACCCTTGTATTGGTATTAGATTTCAACATCTGAATCATCACAGTCCGTGAATATTCAGGCTATAGCAGCTCTAAACATTCTGTATCTCTTGTCACTACATCCAAGATTGGGGTATAAACCAAGTCACAGTAGCTGAGCCATCTGGTTAATCTCAAAAGGCTTTATTTTTCTTCATTTTTCGTTTATCACAGAAAGTGAAACACTTGTTTGGAGCCAACATCTTTGGAAGAAAGAGATGTTCTGTATTAGTTTTCTTAACAAGCATTCTATGCCAATTGGGAACAAAGGGTCCCATTTCAAGATGAGCTACACGCACTCTTATGCTGAGACCTCAGTGTGAGTCAGAGCCATTTCTTATGTGTGGCCATGGCTGCTGAAATGGCAAGACTAGAGAATCCATCACCAAGTCCAGAGGAGTCTAATGACAAAAAGATCCATCCTTCCATCTCCCCAAGGGCCTGTTCTCACAGTTTATCCAAGCTTGACTACATTAGCATGTGGAACAAATATATTTAATGAGTTGGTTTTTAAGTTACAGATAGTAACAGTTGTCATTATGAGTAATGAAAGCATAGAGAGTCTTGTCAATATCACATCACTTCACCCACTAACAGTATTTATATCTTACAACGTGTCAGTCACTATTAGATGGTGGGCATGCATCCAAGAAGGGTGGTAGTAACTGTAGCTGAGAAGTATTGAGCTCTTACTGTCTATATATTACCTCATACAATCCGAAGATCAACTTCATAATTAAGTGCCTTTGTGATATCGAATCAAAGACAAAGGAACAGTCTTTAGAGAGAAAGAATAATGTTAACAAAGACAAAACCTTGGCCACATAGAGCGTATGGACCATCTGCTGTCATTTCCACATGAGACAGACACAAGTCCATACCCTCCAGAAATCCATACCCTGAGCTAAGGAACATGTCTACCCAGAAACCAGTCACTTCAAGATCTCAGGAGTGTGAAGACCCCAAAGAGATTGCCACCTTTCAATTAATCTGTGGCTGACGTGCACACCGTGTTGCTGGAAGTCTCTTGATTGATGTGGACTTCCTCTATTTCCAACAATACCTTTCATCTTGTCCCTCATGTCCTCCCGGCATCCCCAGTGAATACTTCTACCCCTCTCTGATTTGTTTGTATGTTCCCTCCCTTTCCTGTTCCCTGGGTCTCTCTCCCACCTAGATGATAATTATTAGGTTCGCAAACGTCACAGTGTAGCTTCAGAGGAGAACATGGGAGGGAAGGACACCGGACCACAAATGAAACAAGGTATTTAGAGAGGGTTTGGGGCATCTGCGGATTCTTCCTTGATGCTTCCTGGTGTTTAATGGACTCAAGGAAAGCAGGAACCCACTGGAATGTGCTGGGCTCCTTCTTTCTTACTTTCTGGCACTCCAGGAATGCGGAATTCCAAAAGCACATCCACACCACTCTGTTGTTGTTGTTAATCTAGTTTTTTCCATGATTAACAACTTAGTTCATTATGTTTCCAGCGCACATTAATCATCTTTTCTGCAAGTTTGGTAACATTTGGAATCATTTCCCTATGAATTTATCCATCTGGGATCTCTATAAAAGATAAGTTTGCACAAAACTGTTTGTTGCTCGCTGCTGAGAGTGAAGGTACTTATTGTTCCCTGAATCCTGGGAGGATGCTTCTGAAGTCAACTGGGGTTCCTTTATCATTAATGGGTCCATCAGTTGAGCTCCCTGAGTTTCCAACGTGGATCAAGACCCAAAGGAGGGAGGTTTTTCCTACAATATAATAGTAATGAAAATCCCTAAAAGCAGTACTCTGTGGAGCCCGCTTGCACCTCTGGAGCAGATGGGAGTGAAGGAAGCTGTGAGGGCATCTGAAAAAGAGGAGAGATGGATGAGTCAGAGCCAATACCCTGGCAGGAGTCCTGTCTTTACACCTACAGGTTATTTGACCTTAGAGAAGACACATGTCTCACTAAAATCCATTCACTCCTCCTATGAGCTACTATCATAGGGTAGTTCTGAATGTTAGCTTGCATTCTCTCTGCTGTTGAGAAAACTCTGCAATATTGTTAATGCTAATCAATTTTGCAATTCCTACATTTTCCCAAAACTAACAATGTCTATGTGTATGTGTGCATATTTATAAATAATATATATAATACATATAAGAAAGAGAAAAATCAACTAATGGGGAATTTCCATGGCTGCTTCTAACACCAACATGTGTATATGTATCTGTGTGTTTATGCACACACAGTATATACATATAACAGTATGTATAGACAATACGTATATGAATAATACATGTGGTGTATACATATGTGTGTATGTGTGGGTAAGCATCCATGAAAGAATAGCCTGTTGGGGTTGTCTAGAAGTCAGGGTTCTTAATTATCTTTTATATAAAACATCATACAGTAATATGCTTTGTTTGAGCTGGGCAGAGGATATGTTGTTTAGGAAACAGACAGAAAATCCTTTGGGATGCAGTTGTGAGCATCCTCCTGGGTACCGTGCAGTCTCGGAGCTCAGGAAGAAAGCAGTTCCTGCTGAGGTTCCTATTAGTTTGCCTCCAGCACCATAGTGAAGCTCAGAGGCATCCGTCCACTTCTTAACTAAATCAGATGTTTCTTTAGAGACAATGTTCTTCATTGAGTATCTTCACAAAGCCCATGACAAACATTTTTGTCTATGATCATTAACCTTGAAATGTAGATATCGGTTCTTGTTGCTGCCCAGTGCAGAGTTGAATTGCATAATGCCTGTGTTACTGTAGGAAGGGTGAAAGATGTGATTAAATTTTATTGCCATAGAAAGGCCCACGAGTGGACAAGAAGAGATGGGATTAAGTTTGTTCTAATTCTGTCCTGGCTGAAAGCAAGGTGATGGGATATGGAAATGTTGACCTCTGTTGAGAGTCTCTTCCCAGCACTGGGGACTTCAGCAGGAGATTCCCATTGCACAGGAAACCTCCAGTGGCCTTGACGGAAACTGCCTGCCTAACTCACCTTCCTGCCCCTGTGGAAGGCCAGACACCTGAGGCACATTTTAATTGCCATGTACCTCTCCTTGCAAGTGAGCTAATTGCATCTGCTTCCCTTTCCTTTAGGTTTCCAAGTGAGGACAGAAATAATGAAGACTGTGTGCTAGCTGTATCCTTTTGAAGCACCCAGGAAGAAGTCCAGAGTGTGGTCAGAACTGTTGCAGCACTCGGAGTAAAGGAGGGATGGACTCGGGATTATGCTGAGATTCCAGAATGAATCTGGTCGACCTGTGGCTATCCCGTTCCCTCTCCATGTGTCTCCTCCTCCAAAGCTTTGTTCTGATGATCCTGTGCTTTCATTCTGCCAGTATGTGTCCCAAAGGCTGCCTTTGTTCTTCCTCTGGGGGTTTAAATGTTACCTGTAGCAATGCAAACCTCAAGGAAATACCCAGAGATCTCCCTCCTGAAACAGTTTTGCTGTATCTGGACTCCAACCAGATCACATCCATCCCCAATGAGATTTTTAAGGACCTCCATCAACTGAGAGTTCTCAACCTGTCCAAGAACGGCATTGAGTTTATTGATGAGCATGCATTCAAAGGAGTAGCAGAGACCTTGCAGACCCTTGACCTGTCTGACAATAGGATTCAAAGTGTGCACAAAAATGCCTTCAACAATCTGAAGGCTAGGGCCAGAATCGCCAACAACCCCTGGCATTGTGACTGCACTCTCCAGCAAGTTCTGAGGAGCATGGCATCCAATCATGAGACAGCACACAATGTAATTTGCAAGACTTCAGTGTTGGATGAACATGCTGGGAGACCGTTCCTCAACGCTGCCAATGATGCTGACCTTTGTAACCTCCCTAAAAAGACCACTGACTATGCCATGCTGGTCACCATGTTCGGCTGGTTCACCATGGTGATCTCTTACGTGGTGTATTATGTGAGGCAGAATCAGGAGGATGCCCGGAGACACCTTGAATACTTGAAATCCCTGCCAAGCAGGCAAAAGAAGGCAGATGAACCCGATGATGTTAGCACTGTGGTATAGTGACCATGCTGACTGGCACTGGGAAAGTAGCTTCTGGTTGTAGTAGAGTAAGTGGTTCACTTCTCCTTCCATTGTACACGTTTCAAACTTTGTGTTTTAGTTTCTTTGGAATCATGGCACTGTTGAACTTTTCACAAACACTACCACACTAACGATTTTAGTTTAGGTGATCTCCCCCCATTAATTGTGCCCCTGGTTCCTAAGTAACAAGCTCTCTGAACATTAGTTAGACCCATCTCACTATTTAATAATGAAATTTATTTTTTTAATTTAAAACTGAATAAAAGCTTAACTTTGAACCATGGAAAAGAGTGTGACTTATTGGTTAAGAAACAATACAGTTGATCCACTTGCTTTGAAGAGAAAAGGGCAATCCTGCTACTCTAAAGGACTGTTATATTGAAAGGTATATCACAAGCCCTGGGGTACCCTGGAGAAGCAGAGCTGAATTATTGACCGGTTAAGTGTCTGTCAGACTTTAGCTAGCCAAGATGATTTTACAAATGTGTTTCCCCCAGACAGGCTATGTGAGGATGGCCGCTGACTAGCATCTGATTTTCAAAATGAGTAGGTTTAGCAATAAAAAACAAATACTTGCTTCTACTCTGTGTTGGACACAATGGGAAAGCAAAAACAATGGCATGTTATCTTATCCTCGGGATTGCTTTATGGTGGGCAGCAATGTGTGGTGAATACAGAAATAGCTATGCTAAGAAAGGAAGAGAGCACCCACTCTGTGGGAGCACTGGGTGGGGATGGTGTTACCACTAATGTCTCTAGCCTCTCACCAACAGAGGAGAAAGTGACCATCAGGCTGTACATAGAAAGTAGAGGTTCAGCCCCCTGCCTGGTAGAGAGCATTAGAGCTTGAATTTGAGCCAGGTATTTTCTGAATAGAAGTCTGCTCATCGATAGTCCTTCTACATTGGTTTGCAAACAGAATTCACGTGGTAAAAATGCACTAACATGACGTTTCATGAGTTTTGTTATTGCTCTGTTTGCCACACAAAGGAGATGCCCTGTCCTAACTATGGTCAGAAATACTGGAGGCACATTTGGCTCCTGGAGTGGGGAATGGTGGGCTTGATTTTGGGGATGAATGTGACCAAGTAAGCATGAAGGACCAAAGCTAAGGGCATATAGGAACGAAGGTGGAAAGCCATTCCCAGTGAAGGAATCTATGTGGAGAGTGAGACATGGGTTCAAACCCTCTAGTGACTTTAAACTGGAGAATGGCCATAGTCTATCACACACCGCTTATGGAAGGAACATTTACTTTGCTCCAAATACTTTTCTGAGTCATCTTAATTAATGCTTGCAAGACCCTATGAGATAATTTAGTTATATAATAGATTCAGGACTCTAACCCTTGTAAGAAGCATTGCTTATGCACCAACACTAAGTTTAGAGAGTTTTCGAAATTTGTATGGCCCTGCTCAGAACACATACAGTGATACCCATAGTCTCTGGACTACTCCCGTCCTGCCATTCTGTCATAGTCTTGGCTTGCTACATAAGGTGACCAGTTCCTCAGTGACATGGGTTTGCAAACACCTGCATGACAATTCCATGTAAAAAGCAGAAGTAAATTGCTCTGTATAAGGCCCGTGTAGGAAAGAGGGTTAGTGTGTCTTTGTGATACACGTGGCGTTGTCCAGCCCACATGAGATTGTCTTCAGGGTGCCAAGACTCATGGTTCTACTCTCAGAAAGCCCTGGAGGTCTAACCATAACCATAGTCTGCTGAAAGGATTGCTAAAGAAATCAGAAAGATACAGTATTGGCCATTGTGTGCTCACAGACACTTTAACCATCCTGAGATACATAAGTCTACCCCAAAATTCAGAAATAACTCTCAGATGTGAAATTTGTGTTAGGGCCTAGAACTCCTGCTCACAGGAGACTAAAGTCTGATGGCCTGCCTTCAAACTGGGTGGAAGAACTAGCCAGAAGAGTCAGAGCTGTGATGAAGGTATAGCACCCCCTGGAGGACAGTGCTATAATACACTGCAAGTACTACATACGAAAACCTCAATGGACAGAAGTTTAGCTTTAGGAATCGTTTGAAAATTAAACAAGTGTGTTTATTTGAATGTATGAGTCACATTCACTTTGGAAAATCATCCACAAATGTGTTAGATAATCCATTTCAGGTCACTCCCTCTAAAATTGTCTTTATGTCCTTAGTAATGAAAGCTTATTTTCCTCCTGGCTAATCCATTAATCCAGTGAATGTTCTCATACGTAGATGGAGGGTCTCTCAGGATTTGGTGGGAAGAGTCATAGCCTTGACCTTTTGGAAAACATTTAAACACCCACACACCTGGTTGGCAGCTCTCTATGTAGAGCTGAGAAACAGTCAACAGGTTACAGGGCACCCTCCCCGATTCGGTCTGTAGTTTACCAGGTTACAGCATCTTTGGTGCTGCAAACAGGCAAACATTAATTGAGGTCGCCATGAACTGAATGGAAGTTTATTAGATAATAAAAATCAAATAAATATAATTAATGTAGCAGATTAACATGTCTATTTGTGACCAGAACAGAAGGGAAATGATCTAATTGCCAGCATGTGGGAATGTCTACCCACAAGGCCAACAATGTACCGAGCTGATGAGTGGAGGACCTGGTAAACCAGAGTCCGTAGTCTTGATTGTAGATTGATGCCTCATTTCCCACCCCTCTGAGGGAGTTTCTGTTCATGGTGAACCACGGGAAGACTTGGAATTAACCACCATCCTATTGTCCTTGGCACACAGCAGCTCAAATGCTAATACTTTAAGTGGCGGTATCTTTTCTCTGGCTGTGTTTACTCTCAACCTCCACCTTTCAGATTAAAAAAAATGCCCATGGGAATTTTAATCTAATCTTTGACAATGTGCTTATCTCTGAAGCAGAGCTAACCATAAAACATGCCAACTCAACTAGAACACATTTAAAAGTGATAAAACTTACATAATGGAAGATTGAACTTCCAATAACACTTGGACAAATTGTAATCACTGCTGTATGGTGAACAGTGTGAGTGCTTCCCTTTTTCTTGTCTGTCTCTGATTCCCCACATTAATTCTTGCTCTGATAGCACCAAGCATACGGCAGTCTGGGGTGTCATGAGGTTTCCTTATTGACTCAAGTCTTTCACACAGTTCTCTCCGTTTGCTGGCAGAGAGATGGAATGGAAAATTCTGCTTATCACTGCTCAGTTCCTGAAGGCTGATGCATTCCTACAGCATTAGGGTCGAGAGTCTTTGGAATAGTCTCATCTACCCACTTCACAGGTACAGACACTGAAATGCTTGCAGCTTTGGGGATGTGCATCTGACTCAACGTTTTCCCGTAGGACACTAACTGCCTTCCTGATGAGTTCTGTCACGATCATCAAAAATAAGTCGTGAACATCATAACAACACGCATGGGAAAAATGTCACTGTGTACTAGCAACTGTCTTTGAGGGCTCCTACTTTACTGTGAGCAAAAGACTACCCATGATTCTGCAATTTTAAATGTTCCTTCAAGATCAGGTAGCAGAATCTACTTGCCTTCATAAGTAGCCCAGAATAACATGTTTAAAAGTGTGTATGACCTGGCCTCCCAAATGGGAAAAAATGATGCTGGTACAATGTCCCATAAAGAAAGAAAGATATCACATTTATTTCCTTAAGCAAAGCCACAAGTATTCAAGTGCAGCCAAGCTGACAAGACAAGGCTGCCCCTCCTCAATGCCCTTCTCCATTTCAGGCCTCTTGTCTGCCTGGATTCCCAAAGTGGTGTCACTGATTCATTCAATTGGCTAGTTCTCACCCAGAAAATGGAAACAAAAAGTATGCTGGTCATTTTTGGTTTTGGTTCTGTCAACTTAACATAAACTAGGGTCATCTGAGAGGAGGGAACTGGGAACATGCCTCCATTAGATTGGCCTGTGAGTAAGCCTTTGGAGCAATGTCTTGGTGAATGATTGATGGGCAGTGCAATCTCTAGGTAGGTGGTCCTGGGTTGTATAAGAAATCAGGCTGGCCAAGCTCTGAGGACCAAGCCAGCAAGCAGCATTCCTCCTTGTTTTCTTCAGTTCCTGCGTCCAGCTTCCTGCTTGAACTCCTGCCCTGACTTACCTCAGTGACGGAATGCGATCTGGGATGTAGCAGCCATTAAACAGTTTCTTCCCCAAGTTCCCTCTGCTCAATTGTTTTGGCAGTAGAAAGCAAACTAATACAGGGGCAAGCTCAATTCTCACACATGTGTAAATCCGTGTTACGAAACAGAGAGCAAGAAAGGAAGACCTGCCTGCATTCTGCATACCGCATTTGCCCACCCACATCCAGAATGCACCCAAAGACCAAGCCAGGGCCCAAGAAAACTTTTGTTCAGGTCAAGAAAATGGTTATTTTGAGTCTTTTGAATCGACAAAGTGGACAGAGAGTCCCATGGTTTCCTGAGTGGTGACAGTACAGAGAAACATCGTTATCATGCATTAGTGGAACTATCATCTAGCTTGCTAGCTAGCTAACTTTATCCATCCATCTGTCTGTCTGTCTATCCAGCTATCTACCCATCCATCATCTATCTATCGATCTATCTATCTATCATCTATCCACCCATCCATTTATCATCTGTCTGTCTCTCTGTCCATCTGTCTATCTATCTATCATCTATCCCCCCATCCATCTATCCGTCTGTCTGTATGTCGGTTCATCCATCTATCTATCCATTTATCTATTAATCCATCCATCTATCTATCTGTCTTCTATCCACCCATCCATTTATCTGTCTGTCTCTCTATCCGTCTGTCTGTATGTCCGTTCATCCATCTATCTATCCATTTATCTATCATCTATCCCCTCTCTCTCCTCTCCCCTTTCCCTCTCTCCCTTCCTTTCTTCCTTTCTATTCATATTTCTATGATACAGCTGAGTTTCAAAAGCCAGGGAAAGAATTGGTGAGATGCTGGAGAAAAATCACCTCTAACAGTAAATCTACCTGAGTTACTTAAGATTGGGATTTCTGGGGAAATTTGTAAAAGTATTTTTAAAGCTGTCCCCAAGTTCACTGTAAACAGTGAGTTAATCAACTTTGTGACCTATATTTCTTCCGAGTCTGGCAAATGTTCAGCAACTTACTATTAAAAGAAGAAAGTCAGTTTGTTTTCTTGTACATATGCAGACATCTGAATGGCAGACAGTCTTACCTGACAAGCTGCCTTGAACAGAATACTCACTGTTCTGTTCTCTCTGGGTTTCAGACCAAACCCTTATGCTTTCTTGTATGTGTATCTATTTTGCCTATGCTTGGAGTCTATAAAATAGAGGGC